AGGTTGCAGTGAGTCAAGATGGCATCACTGCACTCCAGCCTGGACAACAGAGTGAGACCCTGTCTCAAAGAAAAAAAAAAAGCAGTTTGGAGGCAGTAGGTTCAACAAACTTAGGACTTGCTACATGTTTCCTCTTTCACAAAATAAATGAGATGTGTCTGGGCATGGTGGCTCATGCCTGTAATCCCAGTACTTTGGGAGGCCAAGGCAGGCGGATCACGTGAGGTCAGGAGTTCGAGGCCAGCCTGGCCAACTTGCCAAAACCCCATCTGCACTAAAAATACAAAAGTTAGCTGGGTGTGGTGGCACATGCCTGTAATCCCAGTTACTCAGGAGGCGGAGGTAAGAGAATTGCTTGAACTGGGAGGTGGAGGTTGCAATGACATGATATCACCCCACCGCACTCCAGCCTGGGCGACAAGAAAGAAATTCCGTCTCACACACACAAAAAGAAAACAAAAAGAAAGAAAAGGAGTGAGATGTGATGATCTCTAAGATGGATCTGATCATGCCCCCGCCTCTAAAATTCCATGACCGTACATACTCACTGGACCTGTTTCCAGAACCCACCACAATGTAGCTTTGATGGTGTTAACTGCTCTGTGCAGCTCAAACTCTCTGTAATTTCTACACCTTTCAAAGGGGAACTGAGATGTGAACCATTTTCAGGACTCATTCAACACAGAATTCCCAAATCTCATCCCACAACAAAGACATCCCAAACCCCACGACATCCAGGAAAGGGTCCCAAACGTCCATCCTCGCCTTGTACAAGGTGATGTTTGAAGCATGTGGAAAGTGCAGTGTGGCCACAAACAGGTGGACATAGTCACTGTTGAGACCACCCTCGTAAATATTCTCCGCAATGATCTTGCTGACAAAATTTTTGCCGGTTCCCGTCCACCCATGCAGGGAGAGGGTGAGAGGTTTCTTGGGCTTTGGGTTGTTTATGAAACCAAATACAGCATTTAAGATGATTTTCTTTGCAAGATGCTGTCCAAAGAGCTTGTTGTCCAGATCCTTCTGCAGCGCTGGAAAGACAAAGGCAATCAGGAGTGGGGAAGAAACAGTGGCAAAATGTAGCCATATCTACAGCCCATGAGAAAGGCAGCAAAGCCGCCCAGGCGCTCTTCAAGCACCTTGGGAAACCTCAAGTACTGCGGTCTGTAAGCTCCTGGCCCAGTGGGGACGGCGGTCCTGGGGGCTCTCCCTTTGCTGGTCCTGCCTATTCTAAAGCCCTGGCGCGGCTCCTTCCCGAAAAGGGCCTCGGTGCCAATGCCACAGCCACCAGTTTGCAACCCTAACTCCTGTGCTGCTCCTCCGACCCCAGGGCAGAGCGAGGAAAGGAGGCAGTTTGGCCGCTCCTGTCGGCTCAGGAAGAGTCCTCACCATCCTTCCTGTCTCTCGCTAGGCTAGAAAGGAGGCAGAACCCTCTTCGGAGGGAAGTGACCACCGGTTCCCCCCCGCCCAGCTTGGCGTGAAGCAGTCCAACCTGCAGCCCGGCTCCTCAGGGCACCGACTGAAGTCCGGCCCGTCTGTGGTCGTGGCCAAGGAGCCAGGCCTCATGCTGCAGGCGGGCCGCTCGGCTTCCGGGGTTCGGCCCCCGTGGACTCAGCTCTGCCCAGGCCCGGCCGTCCTGGGATTTGACCCCTATCCCGGCCAGGCCCTAGTGCCATCGCCCATCCCCCAGCCTCCATCCCCTGGCCCTGGCCTGGCCCTAGTGCCATCGCCCAGCCCCAGCCTCCAGCCCCCTCCCCATCGTACCCTCCCGGCTGAGGCTCCTCTTCTGGCCGCAGCACTCGGCGAAGAGGCAGTAGAGACGCGGGTAGATGTAGCCGGTGAGGACACCGGCCAGGGCCAGTCCCAGGCTGATGGGCTCTACCGCCTGCACCACGGACGGCGCCAGCAGCAGCAGGCCCAGGGCGGCCCGGCTCAGCTTCATGCCCGGACCCGCGCCGCCCTGCGCGTTCTGGCGCCGACCGCGCACTAGTGCCGCCGCCAGACCCGCGCTTCCGGTTCCTCCTGCCGCGGAGGCCATCTTTCTTCAGGGCAGCCCTCCTACCGACGCCGGCGGCCGCCATCTTTGTTCGGGACAAAGCCTTGTTTTGCTTCCGGAAAGTCTGTTCTGCACTGCCCCTGTCGGCCACGTGTTTTTGTTTGTTTGAAGTAATCGACGTTATTTTTGCGGGCGTGGTGGCTCACGCCTGTAATCCCAGCGCTTTGGGAGGCTGAGGCGGGTGGATCACCTGAGGTCAGGAATTCCAGACCAGCCTGACCAACATGGTGAAACCACGTCTCTATTAAAAATATAAAATTAGCCGGTGTGGTGGTGTGCACCTGTAGTTCCAGCTACTGGGGAGGCTGACGCACGAGAATCGCTTGAACCTGGGAGGCGGAGGTTGCAGTGAGCTGAGATCGCACCACTGCATTCCAGCCTGGGCGACAGAGTGAGTCTCTGTTCCCTCCCCCCAAAAAAGTAATGGACTTTAGTTTTTAGAACAGATTTACAGAAAAATTGAGAAGATAATACAGAGTTCCCATGTGCCATCCCTCCCTGCAATTTCCCGTTACTAAAATCTTAAATTGTTAGTGTGCTACATTTGTTACAGTTAATGAAGCATTGTTGTTATATTATTAACTAAAGTGTACAGTTTATTCGGATTTCCTTTCTTTTACTTAATGCCTTTTTCTGCTCCAGGTTTCTGTTGAAAAACCGGCGTTTTGAATGAAGAGACCTTCCAAACAGGCTTTGTGTGAGCAGCGTGGCTGTTTATTCACCTGGGTGCAGGTGGGCTAAGGCCGAAAAGGGCATTAGCAAAGGGCAGTGGGATAGAAGTTGGTTTTATAGGGTTGGGTAGTTTTTGAGGGGGGCGGGGGTGTTGCAGAGTAAGATCAGTTACAGTGGTGGGAGGTAGAGGCAAGGAAGTATACATGACCACAGTTAAGTTACAATGGCAGGGTTGGGTGAGAGGTATTTACATTATCATAAGAACAGTTAAGATGGCAGGGTTGAGTGAGGGGCTTGTCTGGGGAAGCGGGGCGATCGGGGACAATGGCGAACGCAGGCTGCGGGTGGGAGACATCAGCCAAGGCAAGCAGGACTTCAGACTTTCAGGCTCCAGGCTTGCGTATGGAGACCTGGCAGTTTCCATTCAGGATACCACATTACATTTAGTTGTCATGTCTTAGACTCTTGTTAGTGGCAGTGTCTCAGCCTTTTATTTTTATTTACTTTTTAAAATCTGTATTGCAGTGGTGTGGTCTCAGCTCACTGTAACCTCTGGCTCCCGGGTTCAAGCAATTCTCCTGCCTCAGCCTCCCGAGTAGCTGGGATTACAGGCACACACCACCATGCCTGGCTAATTTTTGTATTTTTAGTAGATGCGGGGTTTCATCATGTTCACCAGGCTGGTCTTGATATCCTGACCTCGTGATCCACTCCCCTTGGTCTCCCAAAGGGCTGGGATTACAGGCGTGAGCCACCGTGCTTGGCCTCTGCCTCTTATTTTTGATCACCTTGACAGTTTGAGGAGTACTGGCCAAATCTTTGGTACGCTGGCCCTCTATTGGAATCTGATGTTTTTCTCAGGGTTCGACTAGCATTATGGGGTTTTGGAAGGACAATCACAGAGGTAAAGTGCTATGCTCAACTCATCCTACCAAGGGAGGGTTCTTACCGTCAACATTCCTTATCACTGTTGGCGCTGACTTGATCACTTGACTGAGGTAGTGTTAGTGTTCATCAAGTCTCCCCACTGTACACTCACTCTCCTCCCCTCCCTTCTATACTGTACTCTTTGGAAGGACGTCCCCCATGTGTGGGAAGAGATGGCAAGGGGCAGACCTGTGTCACTTATAGTTAAATGATTACAAGCTTGCTTTGCGTTTTATATACTGAGATTTGCACCACGGATCACATCCAAACTATGGTGCAGTAAAATAAAAGTGAAACCAAGCAGTAACAGGAGGCCTGTGGTAAAGACCATTGAGAGCGCCCTAGAACCGCGGAACACTGCGATGCGGAGGCAGAGCGGGAAAAACTGCTTTGGTCACACATATCTTCCCAACATAGAGTTTGTTTAAGGATCTTGTAAAGGGAGCTTATGCAAAAGACTCTGGGAAGGAAATGCAACATCTGCTCAGAAGACTCGGGAGGGTCTTCGCAGATGGGTGCTAGTAAGGCCGGAAAGCCTTGTAAGGCAGAGACACTAGAACGCCACAGGCTGTATGTTCGCACAATATGGAGCAATTCCAGTTGCTGTGTGTCCACAATGCGGGGGAGATAGAAGCCCCTTGATGCACTGGGTGTGGTCAGACCTTGTGGTGCCTTATCTGCTGCACCTCTCTTGCCAAAATACCTGTATAGACAATGGGTGATAAAGTCTGTCTCCTTAGCATGCTGTTGAATGCTGCAGACGTGCTCTTCCTCCAGCTGTCTTCCTCCTCAACCTCCCTCCCCACAGCCTGCAATATTAACAAGATACCTCATAAAAGCGCTTGGAGCCCAGAGCTCTATGCCAACACAGATCACCCCACAAGAGTGCGTTGGACCCCTGCTTTAAAATTCTATCCTTGTGTCTTTATTTCTCATTCCCGTGTCACTGCCGGGACATGGGGCACCCACGCACAGGGTTGGGCTGGTTCCCAACATCACAGATGACAGAACTGAGGCTAAGAGTGAAAAGGATCTGTCCAAGGCTACAATTAGTAAGCTGTGAGCTGGGCTCAGATCTGACTCCTGGGCCAAACCACTGTAACCACAATTCCTGCTCTAACCCCCAGAAGTCAGCTGATCTGCTCTGTCCTCTTCCAGACCCATGTAGATGCCTCAGGAAAAATGAGGGCATAGGTAAGAAGGTACTTGACAGCAGGTTGCAGCATGTCCATGACTTTTGAAATGAAAACCCGTCTTGGTAATTCAGCTTGACATTTGCACTACCCAAACCCTGAGCTTTGACAACATTCCCTGACGTTCGTATGAGGAAACATAATACAAACAGTAAGGTTGGACTCGTTTTGTATTTAATAATTAAATTCTAATAGTAATAAGAAACATAGTTTTTGCTTTTTCTTTTTTAATGAAAACAAGTAATTTTGTAAAGGTCAGAAAACACCAGTATCCTCCTCATCTCATCCTTGATTTTTCTGTCAGCTGGACCCACTGTAATCAATGGAGGCAGCATTTCTGACTCCATCCCAGATATGTGAAAGCAGAAGACATGATGCATAACAATCTAAAGGATATTATCACACTATGAACACAGTTTCTTCCTGACCCAGGGCAAATATTAAGAGAAAGTCAATATATTTAAAAACAAGATTTAATAATGCTCACAAGAATAGAGTTTGCCCCCAGGTGGACAATTACATATTGTTTTGTTTCCAAAAGTTATAAATTTCGTGCTTGACAAATCCAGCAGGTAAGCAGAGGGACGAATAGAGTCTGTTTCCAGAGCTGTCTGCTGGCAGATGAGCACGCTCTGCCCAGGAAGCCATTTCTCGTGGGAGGGATGTAGGGAGGGAAGGCAGAATTCACAGCCCACTCTGCACAGCTCAGTACCGCCTATTCATCTTCCTGAACTTCTCATAATGATAGTCATCAGTTGCCTTCTCATTAGCAGGACGCTTACGGCTAGGAGGGGACCCTGAGAAGGAAAGAACAGGAAAGGCGGTTTGCTCTGCTGGAACCCACTGCTAGACTTTACTCCCTGCAGGAAAGGACAACTGCTTGTTTCCTTCCCCACAGGAGCCCCAGCGCCTAACCCAGTGAACAGAGTAGGGCCTCGGTAGATACCTTTATTCCTTTTTTTTTTTTGAGACCGAGTCTCGCCCTGTCGCCCAGGCTAGAGTGTAATGGCACGATCTCAGCTCACTGCAACCTCTACCTCCCAGGTTCAAGTGATTCTCCTGCCTCAGCCTCCTGAGTAGCTGGGATTACAAGCACCTGCCACCATGCCCAGCTGATTTTTATATTTTTAGTAGGTTTTATATTTTTTATATTTTTAGAGTTTTCACCATGTTGGCCAGGCTGGTCTCAAACTTCTGACCTCAGGTGATCTGCCTGCCTCAGTCTCCCAAAGTGTTGGGATTACAGGAGTGAGCCACTGCGCCAGGCCGATACTTTTTTTTTTTTTTTTTTTGAGACGGAGTCTTGCCCAGGCTGGAGTGCAGTGGGGCAATGGAGTGCAGTGAGACTGAAACCTCAGTCTCCCAGGTTCAAGCAATTCTCCTGCCTCAGCCTCCCGAGTAGCCAGGATTACAGGCATGTGCCACCAAAAAGTTGGCTAATTTTTTTTATTTTTAGTAGAGACGGGGTTTCACCATGTAGGCCAAGCTGGTCTTGAACTCCTGACCTCAGGTGATCCGCCCACCTCAGCCTCCCAAAGTGCTGGGATTACAGGTGTGAGCCACTGCGCCCGGCCGATACCTTTTTTTTTTCTTTTTAAAAAAAAAGATGTGGTCTCACTTTTTCACCCAGGCTGTAGTGCAGTGGTCCAATCATAGCTCACTGCAGCCTTGAACTCTTAGTCTCAAGTGATCCTCCTGCCCCAGCTTCCCCAGCAGCTGAGACTACAAGTGTGCGCTGCCACACCCAGGTAACTTTATGAATAGCTTTTAATTTATTTGTCCTTATTGAAATTTTCTAACTTCTTGAGTCTCTGCTGTGCTTGAGAATATGAGACAGTATGCTTGATAGCAAATTCTCAGAGCAATCCTAAGAGGTAGGTCCTATTAGGATTCCCATTTTATAGATGAGGAAACTGAGCCTTAGAAAGGGGAAGGCACATAGTCATGGTCCAGATGCCTCAGCTCCAATGCCAAGTTCTGCCCTGCCCCCGCTGCACCCTGCCTCCATGGGCCCCCCACAGCACTGAGCACTCCAGGCAGCCCTGATGCCTTTGCTGCACTCACGCTCAGGCTCTGGCTTCTCCGTGTCGCCTACTCTCAAGGGCCGGGCTTTGGGCTCTTCTTTGTTTCTCCGTATGGGCGCGTTGAGCTCCTCATGATAAACTGAACCAAAAGAGACCAGGGGACACGTCAGACAGAACATGAGGTTCCTAGGGACCTCAACCCAAACAGGGGAGGGGGGGCAAGACTGCTCTCCCCGAGGGGCTTACATCTGTTGTGCTGCACGTAATTCACAGCCATGTTGGTAGGCACGAAGGAGGTTTCGCTGTCTTTCTTCTTGTTCTGCTGCTCTGCCAGCAGACGGGCCTTGGCATCCTCGGTGGAAATGATATTTTTTATTTTAGCACTATAGAGAGAAAGAAAACCACACCACTTGTAAGATCATAGCACCTTACTACGCAGACAGAAATGAGCATTGAGGCTGGCAGCCCAGCCACACGATAAGAAAATCACGTGTCCTGGGGCACAGCTCTCCAGTATACCAAGGGCACTTGTAGTCCCATTCTCACACCAGAGAACCAGTTACTCTGCTCTTCTGATCAAGAGCAAATTGAGCTTCAGAGGAGTAAAATGCCTTAGGCATTTTGGGTAAAGATCACTTTACCTCTGTGATCTCCCTTCCAAAACCCTGTAACACTAGTCTCATCCTGAGAAAAACGTCAAATTCCAATAGAGGGCCAGCCTGCCAAAGATTTGGCTGGTGCGCCTCAAACCATCAAGGCCATCAAAAACTTTTTCTGGCTCAAAGTTTGCAAGGCCAGAAAAGAGCCCAGAAGCCTCCCAGCTTCTGACTGTACTAAAAGATGATTCTGACAATTGCACTTCTCCCGTGACAATCCCCTTTTAAAGTAGATATTTTGTAGTCAAAATGAAAGAAGGATCATGGGGAGAAGGGATGGGTGAGCCTTTAACATGGCTCCTGCTAGAAGAAAACAGGAGAATAAAGGGCCTGGTCCAGCTGAACAGCTGTCAACAGAGGCTAAAGGACCACTTTTGCTTTCAGCAGTCAGGGACCCTTACTACTCTGACCAAGCCTTCAGCGAAACTTCTAACAACAACCTGCCACACTCTCGTTTGTGTTTGTAGGATTCTAAGGACACAGATAAGAACATGGGGTTTCACTACATTGCCCAGGATGGTCTCGAACTCCTGGGCTCAAATGATCCTCCCACCTTGGCCTCCCAAAGAGCTAGGATAACAGGCACAAGTCACCATGTCTAGCCTTTTTTTTTTTTTTTAAGACAGGGTCTTGCTCTGTCATCCAGGCTGGTGTGCAGTGGTTCAATCATGGCTCACTGTAGCCTCAACTCCGAGCTCAAGTGAGAGCCCATCTAATTTTTTAATTTTTTGTAGAGACAGGGGTCTTGCTATGTTTCTTAGGCTGGTCTCTAGCTCCTGGCCTCATGTGATCCTCCTGCCTTGGCCTCCCAAGTGCTGGGATTATAGGCATGAGCCACCACACCTGTCCCCCATAACTTTTAACTGGAAAGCACTGTGTTTTCTGCCTAGGGGGTCTGAAACATACTCTATGCCCAGGTCCACCTCAGGAATGCCACTCAGCATCTGGTTGGAAAGCATCTCCTCAGTTTTCTTTGCTGAGGAAACGCGGATATTTTCTGGAAGTTCATAAAGACAGTCCTCTGCATTCTTTGGCTTCACTTTCTGTTCCTCATGTTCCACGATTCCTTTCCTCTTCTTTAGCTCTGTCTCAATGTATTTCATCCTGAAGTAGAAACCCACACGTGTCAGGGAGGGGTGGGAAACACATACCAGGTGCCCTCTAAATGGTCCCCAACACTGTCCCACAGACCAGTGACGGTCCATGGAGAAACGAGAAAAATAAAAAAATAACCCAAGTTTTTTCATCAAGTTAGAAATTTTCCACTTAAAGGAGCACCAACCTATGAGATTATGGTCTATTAATCTATTGGTGTTATGATGTATAAGATTCTTTGAAGACAGAAAGATGATAGTTGCCAATGCCTTGCTGGCAAAATAAAAAGTGAGCAAGCCTATGTTTTATCCCTGCAATGTTTTGGGGAAATATTACCAGTCATAGAACCACCTTTGAAAAGAACTTTTTTTGGGGGGAGGGAGATGAAGTTTCACTCTTGTTGCCCAGGCTGGAGTGCAATGGGGCAATCTCAGCTCACCACAACCTCCCCCTCCTGGGTTCAAGCAATTCTCCTGCCCTAGCCTCCCAAGCAGCTGGGATTACAGGTGCCTGCCATAACAGCCAGCAAATTTTGTTTTTAGTAGATATGGGGTTTCTCCATGTTGGTCACGCTGGTCTCGAACTCCTGAACTCAGGTGATCTGCCTGCCTCAGCCTCCCAAAGTGCTGGGATTACAGGCGTGAGCCACCACACCCAGCCTGAAAAGAACTTTTAAGAGGTTTTCAAAGTTCTTAAGCTGGGAGGTAGAAAGAGAAGGGCCAACTTAGACGTCTTCTAGAAAATTCTAGAACTGTCACCTGTGACTAAATATCTTGGATTCTGACTGGAGTCCAGCCCCAGTTGCTCACAGCCAAACAGACTGACACTTACATGTCTGCGTCCTCATCCCTTCGGTTGGTTTCTGCAGAAAACGACGTCCCCAGGTGCAGGTCCTCCTCTTCACTAATCCTGAAGGGAGACAACAATGAGGCAGAGCTTTCAAGTCACAACTCAGTGAGGCCGAGTCTTATGTTCTAAGAAAACAAAGACACAACAGGAATTTATATCGTATTTATGGTTGGCAAAGAAAACTTGCTATAGTATAACATGTAAATAAAAGAAACTCTAGAAATACATGCAAACAAACTGTTGGCTGCTAGTGATACCTCCAAAGATTGAGTGGATACAGTCATACTTAGGTACCCATGGGGGATTGGTTCTAGCACCCCTCAAGGATACCAAAATCTGCAGCTAGTGAAGTCTCTTATATAAAATAGTGTAACCTCTGCATCTAATCTATGCACATTCTCCCAACTACTTTAAATCATCTATAGATTATTTATAATACCTAATAAATTGTAAATGCTATATAGCTGTCACAAAATAAAATACACAGTGTACATTTTTTAAACTTTTGAATTATTTGAATGTATTATTTTTTTTTTGAGACGGCATTTGGCTCTTGTCGCCCAGGCTGGAATGCAATAGCGTGATCTTGGCTCACTGCAACCTCTGGCTCCCGGATTCAAGTGATTCTCCTCCCACAGCCTCCTGAGTAGCTGGAACTACAGGTGTGTGCCACCTTGCCCAGCTAATTTTTTTTTTTTTTTTTTGAGACGGAGTTTCGCTCTTGTTACCCAGGCTGGAGTGCAATGGCGCAATCTCGGCTCACCGCAACCTCCGCCTCCTGGGTTCAGGCAATTCTCCTGCCTCAGCCTCCTGAGTAGCTGGGACTACAGGCACGCGCCACCATGCCCAGCTAATTTTTTGTAGTTTTAGTAGAGACAGGGTTTCACCATGTTGACCAGGATGGTCTTGATCTCTTGACCTCGTGATCCACCCGCCTCAGCCTCCCAAAGTGCTGGGATTACAGGCTTGAGCCACCGCGCCCGGCC